CCCCGTGTAAGATCGCGAGCAAACCGCCCCACGAACGGCTACCATTCCGCCCCCGAGAGACAAGTCATTACCGAATGACAAGCTGCTGTCAGTCATGGTTACGATGACAGCTGAGGGGCGCTTGCGTAACGGCGGGCTCTCTCTGGCTGTTACCGGAGGGTTTCACGCCCCCCCCGCCCCCCGCCCCGCCCCCCCCCCCCCGCCCCCCGCCCCCTCGCCCCCCCCCCCGCCCCCCGCCCCCGTCAACCACGGGCGCCTTGCTGTGTCTCTTCCTTTCACTTCCTCTTTTGGTTTATCCTCGTTTCCTTCCTCTTCCTCGTGCGTTTCCCTTTTTTTTTTCTTCTTCTTCTGTTCCTCCCTTTTCATTTCTCTGTCTGTTCCATTTTCTTCATCTCTTTTCGTATTTTTTCTTGACTTTTCTCTCTCTCGTTTTTTTTTCTTTCTTCTTTCTAGTGCCTGTCTTTTCTCCTTTCGTGTCCTCTCTTCTTTTCATTCCTTCGCCTATATCGTCTTTTGTTTCTCTTCCAATTTTACTTATGTATGTATGTACGTTTGTACGAATGTATGTATGCATGGATGTATGTGTGTATGTATATGTATGTATATGTATATATATATGTATGTGAATGAGTTGTATGTATAATATATATCATATACATTATACTTGCGTGTGTGTGTTTGTGGAAGTGTACATGACCTGCGTGCATCGTCTGCGACTGCAAGCAGCTTGAAACCCTGGCACCGGCGTACACCCCCCCCCACCCCCCTACTTCCCCTTCCCCTCGCCACCTGGCTCGCTGTCCCTCCCCCCGGCGGCTCCCCCGTGCGGGCACCTTCTCAAAATTTGTCGATTTCTCTTCCCACCCTTTCGCCTTACCCCCCCACCCCACCCCCCACTCCTCCCCTTCTTTCCTACTCTCCCTCTCCCTCTTCCTTTCACCCCCACTCCGCAAAATTTGCATACGAGTTGCTGCACCCTCCCCCCACCCCCTCCCCTCCCCAGAACCCCCCCGTATTTATCCCCCTCCCCCACCCTCCCCCCCCCCCCCGTTATATGAGGCTCAAGCACAAGAATAAATGGCTTCCAGGGGGTGCATTCGCGAAGGCAACCCAATTGGGCAGGGGGAAGGGGGGCAGAACATCAATTGCGGTTTGTGTGCAAGGCGATAGGGCTGGGGGGGGGGGGGGGTGTAGGTTGGTGAGGGAGAGGAGGGAGGGTCGTGGTGGGGTAGGGGTAGGGGGACGTGCGTGGAAGGGGTAGGGTAGTAGGTGGGGAGGGGGGGACGTGCATGGGAAAGGGGAAGGGACGGGGGAAGAGAAGGTAGGGTCGTGGGAGGGGGGGGGGGGGAGACGTGCGTGGGGGGGTATGGGGGGGTATTGCAGCTTTTTTTTTTTGGCAAAGAGTGGTGGTTGCAGTTGGGACTTTAACGATGGTAAATTGTCGCGTTTGCTCTGCCTTTGTGTGCACAGTGCTTGGAAAGTCTTGCTTTGTATTACTTCTGCGGTGGTGGTGGTGGGGGGGGAAGGAGGGGCTGAGAGGTGGGGTGGGTGGCGTGTGGAGGTGGGGAGGGGGAGGGGGTGATGGATGGGGGGTTGAGAGGTGGGGGGAAGGGGAAGATAGAGGGGGCTGAGGTGGAGGGGGAGGGGGAGAGGAGGGAGTCTAGGGGTGGAGGGGAAGGGGGAGATGGAGGAGGGGTCAGGGGTGGAGGGGGAGGGGTCTAGGGGTGGTGGGGTGGGGGAAGATGAGGGAGTCTAGGGGTGTGGGTGGGGGTGGGGGAAGATGGAGGGAGTCTAGGGTGTGGGTGGGTGTGGGGGGAGGAATTGTGGTTGAAGGATAGTTGAGACGTTGGGGTTTAATTATTTGGTTTCTCTTGAGGCTTTTTCTTGTGGGGGTTTGGGGTGGTGGTGGGGGGGGGAAGAGAAGAAATTGGATTTGGAATATTTGTCTATATCAGTCCGTCTGTTTGCCTGTTTATCCATCTGTCATTCAAGCATTCAGGGTCTTTCTCATCCTCCCTTTCTCTCCTCTTTCTCTTTCTTCTTCTCTCTTCTTTTCTCTCTTTTCTTTCTCTTTTCTCTCTTCTCTCTTCTTCTCTCTCTCTCTCTCTCTCTCTCTCTCTCTCTCTCTCTCTCTCTCTCTCTCTCTCTCTCTCTCTTCTCTCTTCTCTCTCTCTCTCTCTCTCTTCTCTCTCTCTCTCTCTCTCTCTCTCTCTCTCTCTCTCTCTCTCTCTCTCTCTCTCTCTCTCTCTCTCTCTCTCTCTCTCTCTCTCTCTCTCCTCTCTCTCTCTCTCTCTCTCTCCCTCTCCCTCTCCCTCTCCCTCTCCCTCTCCCTCTCCCTCTCCCTCTCCCTCTCCCCTCCCCTCCCTCTCCCTCTCCCTCTCCCTTTCTCTCTCTCTCCCTTTCTCTGTGCGTGTGCATGTGCATGTCCGTGTACGTATACCTGTGCGTATATGTATATCTATGCGTAAACCCGTCTACATACATACTTAAATATGAGTTT